TGTATGACTCGTGTATTTTAATTACGTGTATTGTGTTTGTATCCCCTTTTCCCCTTTGGAGTTGTTCGCCGCCCTGAGTCCCTCCTTGAGAACGGCGGCATACAAATAAATTAAATCTTAAATCTTAAATCTTACTTTGGTCCTGAGAAACCATGGGGCACCATCAAGGCAGTTGAAAGAGAGAACTGAGTGAAGATGCTTCTACAGAGCTAGAAGACCCCATTTGAGAAACTGATTTTCACCTTCTCAGAGAAGTAGAACATTGCTGCTGAAAATGGACCGCCGTGTCCCTCTGCTTCATCAACATGTCCATCTGTTTCTGGAGACGTTTGTTTTCTTCTTCGGTTTGCTCTAACCGGCTCAGGTCACTGTTGTGACTGGCTATTTTTTCATTGTACCGCTTTCTTAGTGCATCGTAGTCCTTCTTCACAACTTCTAGCTTATCCATCGCTGTATCGTATAGTTTGTTCAAGATCTCCGATGACCCATTCTGCTTCATAACCTGCGTGAGGAAAGGACACTTTTAACAAAGCTTTATAAGGGAAAATCAAGCTCACAGCCTCCAAGCCAGATTCACTTAACGATCGTGTTACTAATTTATCAACTGCCAGTGGTTCATTTAACAGCTGTGGCAAGAAAAGTCATAAAATGAGTCAAAATTCACTAAACAAGAGTCTCGCTTAGCAATGGAAATGTTGGGCTCAATTGTGGCCGTAAGTTGAGGACTACCTGTATTTATATTACTGGATTTTTCGGAGTATAAGACACATTCTTTTTTCCTCAAAAAACAGGGTGAAAATCTGGGTGCGTCTCTTATACACTGAATGCAGCATTTTTTGCCTACCGAAACCCTGCCCCCTTTGCAAAAATGGACGTGCAGAGGGTTTGGGAGGCTTGCAAAGTGCTCCTGGGGGCTGGGGAGTGCCGTTTTTTTTTTTTTGCCCCCTAGCCCCAGGAGCACTCTATAAGGCTTCCAAAGCTCTGCATGCCTTTTTTTTCTTTTGCAAAAAATGAGGCATGCAGAGGGTTTGGGAGGCCTGCAGAGTGCAAAAATCTTTTTTTTTTTAAAATTACCTCTTCAAAATCATGATGCAATTTATACTCCGGTGCGTCTTATAGTCCAAAAAATTACTTACAGAAGCCTGGCATTCTGACAAATCAGCCATCAATAGACACCTAGACATAACATCTATACACTACAGCCCTGATGGCAAACTTATGGCATGCGTGCTACAGGTGGCACACAGAGCCATATCTGCCTCCGTCAGCTCCAGTGTGCATATGCATACCAGCCAGATGATTTTCGGCCTTCCAAAGGGCTGGGGAAAGCTGTTTTCACTCTCCCCAGGCTCCAGGAAAGCCTCCGGAGCCTGGGGAGGTCGAAAAACAGGGTCTACCAGAAGTTCAGAAATGATCCGGCTTCCAGAGGGCCTCCAGGGTGGGGGTTGGGGGCGTTTTCACCCTGCCCAGGTTTCAGGAAAGCCTCCCGCTTCAAAAGGGATCTGAAAAGCCAATGTTGGGCCCATTTTTCAGGCTCCGGAGGCTTTCCTAGAGTCTGGGGAGGGCGAAAGCGGCATCTACGGGCCACCTGGAGGAAATACTAAGCTCAGCTTGGAGGTGAGCAGTGTGCCATGTATGGTGGGGAGCATGGGGGGATTGTGCACGCATGCGAATGTGGGGTTGTGCTTTGCATTATGAATGCCGGCAGGCACATGCACGATCGTGCACGTGTGATCGCATTTTTGGCAACCAACAACAAAAAGGTTAGCCATCACTGGACTACAGTATGAAAAACTGACAATCAGCCAGGGAATAAAAAAGACTCAAGCACCTCTCCACCTGCCACCAGCACGCAGAGCAGCATAGATGAACTCCAAGGTTAACCTCAAACCAGCAATCAGGTAAACAATACTCCAATCAAGAAACTGCCAAAGAAGCCAACAGCAAATAGCCCAACCAAAGAATCTCTAGGAGCAAGCCCACCAAAACTAACAGGGCAAGCCACCAGAATATAAACTGACAGCAAACCACGCTCCTTACTAGCACTGATGATGTTATTTAGTTGGGTGGTGAAACGTCTGCAAGAAAACAAGTCAGCTTGGAGAACGCCAAGGATGCTTTATGTCAACCCACAGCTACAAATATTCTCCTTTATTAGTAACATAGATTTTGTTATTTGTTATTATTTTATTCCAGAATGTTTAACTAGATATTGTTTGAGTATTTTTTTAATTGTACTGATCTTTGTAATAAACACTCTGCCCCAGGGCTGCAGCTTTGATTGGGGAGTTAAGAAAAAGAAAGAAAAGAAAAATCCTAGGAAAATACAGGTAGTCTTCAACTTATGACTCCAGTTGAGTTGATTTTTGTTGTTGTTAAGTTAGATGTTTGTTAAGTGAGTTGCTGCAGTTTGTAACCTGGTTGCTAAAAGAATCTGGCTTCCCCATTACCTTCGCTTGTCAGAAGGCCGCAAAAGGGGATCACAGCAAAGGTCATAAGTATGAACCACTGGCCAAGCATCTGAAATTCAATTGCATGGCCATGAGGATCCTGCAAAAGTCGTAACTGTGAAAAACTAAGTCACCTTTTTTCCAGTGCCGTTGTAACTATGAACGGTCTGTCAGACCTGCAAGCCATTTTTTTTATTTCAAGCCTGCCACACTTTCTACTGTGGGAAAATAGAAGGGGGGGGGATTATACGGAGTTGGGTGATGTGTAGCCATAACAACATTCTTTCTCTGAAAGTCAAGGTCATCTTTGTCTCTGCACCTGGCCGGAACTGAATGGGTGGAATCTGTCATTGTGGCAGTGGAAGATTGGACTATGTGATGGACATGTGGGTGCCGGGGCAGGGTCCTGAACTTTCAACTAGGTGGAAAAACCTGGAAGCTTTCAGATTCAGGTTTTCCCAGATGTGCTAACGTGACATCTCTAATAAAGCGAAACTTCGAGGAAATACAAGCCTCGGAATTTTATTTTGTTGGGGGTATTTTTTGGAACCCTTACACGGTCACTCATGAACGGTTGTTCAGCCAAGGGCTACCTACAATCTGCTCCTGTACCTTTGCCAGGAAATCAAGCAGGGAGACTTAAGGACATCTCTGGGAGTCAAATCTGATCGAAGGAGACCATACTACTTTTGCTCTTTCAAGAAAGACAAAAGGCAGGAGGATACAGAAGAACGGTCAACCGGAGTCCACAAAAAATCGGAGGGACAAAAGCGGAGAAGGAGTTTCCCCATTCAACTCGCTGACGAGAAAGAGAGAGCAAATAAATCTCGGCGAGGCCAAAGGCTACCCCCATGGAAACAGGAAGCTCGTAGGCAGAAAGAGCAGACAGATAGAAAAATCAATGGGCATCTCTGTTGGAGGAAGTAATTTGAGCCAAAGGATCTGTTCTTCCAAGCGACCTCATTGCAGGCCTGTTGGAACAAGTTTCAGAGTATCTGCCAAGTATCCGAGGGTCTACTTCACTGCTGTTCTGACCCAGCTTTAGCAGAACCAAGAAACAGACTCCTTGTCCCGAAAAACCCTTCTTTATTTAGCTACTGTGAATTCACACACAAAAAAATCCAGCAATAATCCTTCAAAGGGTTAATTGCAGTAACAGACCTTATCAGTTCCTTGGATAATTGCCAGGCCGAGAGCTCCCAGCTGCAAAACTGTAAATTAAACTCTCAAACAGTCTCTGAGACACAAACCACAATGAGCAAATCTTCCGAAAGAGATCCTAAAAGTTGTCTCCTATAACCCCCACTCCCCTTTTTGCTTCTATTTATTCCACCAGCCAGGGAGGGGCCGTTCGGCATCCACATGTGCCTTTCTTCCTGAGTCAGCACCTTGTCCTCAGTTGTTTTCCTCTCCTGACAGCCCTGTGCATTAGTGCATCTGGAACAGACTCCAGCTGTTCTTCTGCCCCACTGATCTCCGACTCTGAAAGTAGCTGATAAATGTCAGGCAGCCCTGGCTCTATCTCTGCCTCCAACACAGAGCACCCGTCAGAGTCTTCCCCAGGCTCCAGGACTGGCCTAGGTTCCTCCCCAACCTCCGGATCGTCTGAGTCTGCCACCAGCTCCGCTGGCGGCTGCTGGGCCACAATAACTGCCTGCTCCCTTGTTTTCTTGAAAAGCAACCAAGAGATGTGTCCTATTTTAAGGAAACAAAACCAATAGTAACTAACACCACAGTAGTTACGCCCATGGATTGTTTTATTGCATTACAACAGGTGAACAATACAGGTAGGTCCCGACTGTAACAACAGTTTATTTAGTCAGCATTCAAAGTTCCCACGGAACTGAAGAAAGTGACTTAGGACCATAGTTAACAACCATTGTAGTATTCCCATGGTCATGTGATCAAAATTCAGATGCTTGCCAACTGGTTCATACTTATGATGGTTGCAGCATCCCTGTGATCCCCTTTGATGACCTTCTGGCAAGCAGAGTCCTTGTTGAAGCCAGATGCACTTGAGAACCGGGTTACTAACTTAACAATTGCAGTGACTCACTTAACAACTGTGGCAAGCAAGGTTGTAAAATGGGACAAAACTCACTTAACAGCAGAAATTGGGGCCCAATTATTGGCCATAGGTCTACCTGTATGCAGATTATAAAATGCAGGTGTTCATTGGGTACAGTGGAATTGGTGCCATGTAAAACCAGAACTTGTTAATCCTACAATGGTTTAAATATCCACAAAACCTTCAACGACAAGGAGAAAATAAGTTTGTTTCAATGTTGAAATCAAATTTATAAAAGGTTAATAAAAAAGATAAGGTTGCTGGGATGGCAGGATTCAAGCTATGTGTGCATTGGCAGACAATGGCACAGAGCATTACATTATTTTTGTTAGGTAAGCTCCCCGTTGGGAGAGCGAGTACGTTCAGAGAAACATTGTGAGAGTTGTGTTGGAGAACACAAACCAGCATACAGAGACACTGCAGTTTAAATAGGCTCTTACTTTCATGGAAATAGAGGTATCAGAGTCCATCAAACAGTCCAAGTCATACACGGATAAGACAGTCAGTTATCAATGTCATTCAG